GCGAGGTTGGACACAGGGGCTTGGAGCAACCTGCTCTAGTGGAAGGTGTCCTTGCCCGGGGCAGGGGTTGGAGCTGGTTGATATTAAGATCCTTTCCAACCCAAACCATTCTATGATTCTATGAAATGAAAAGAGTAATTGTCCAACTGCAGTTCAAGTCTGATTGATTACCAGACAGGAATTCTAACACGTAAGGGAGATGGATTCAATCATCATCAACTCTCCTGGTGCCTTTTTCTCCAGGTCCTTTTGGTAAATATGTACTTTATCAGGGAGTGAGCAGGTAGTGGGAGGAAGGGGAAGAATGAAGCAACACCTTGAAAAATCAACAACATTCCCTCTGCTTCCATTTGCAGAATGGCAGGCACTAGATAAAGATGGGGTGACACAGCCTAGAGACAAACTGTGTGGCACAAGGGACAGATCAAGCTGAATGAATCACATTGTGAAGTTAAAACCTAAGTCAAGCTTCAAGGCTGAATGCAGAAGTTATTTCAGCACTTTTGCTCTTGTTAGTAACACGTAGAAAACCACATGAAAATGTGTCTGCACGGAAGGAAACAGGAACTGGAGAAGAGGTTTAAAAGTGGAGCAGCTCTTCACCTGAGGACTTTGCTGCGCAGTGGTACAAGAGGTTTGTACAGAAACAGGATGTTTTGGGCAGAGGTCTGAAAATGAGAGAGATGAACTTGTTCTGGAACGAGAACCGAGGTTTATACAGTAAAAGCAGCCCTCCCTGCCCTGTTTCCTGGCTTCTACTGCTGCCATTAGTTTCATAAGCTATTCCTAATGTCAAATGGTCTAGCTGTGTGTGTTTGCCATACAAACTACTCAAGCACTCAGAAGCTGATAGAAGGATTGGAGGTTCAGGCTTCCAAGTATGACACATCACTGTAATGGCCAAATTGGCTACAGTTGTTGGAAGAAATGGGTAAAACCACTTTCCAACTGATTGCTAACGACACCACAGGGATTAGCATTCTACAGTTTGGTCTCAAAATGTTTTTCTTGAGAACAAGTCGATTAATCAAATTTCCAGACTGTGAGAGGGTTTCGTGACACACAAAATAAGGCTTCTCTGTGCATTTTGGGTCTTGGAAGCTAAGGAAATACCTGTCTCCATTTGGCACCCCCTGATCAGTCCCATCCGAAGACCCATCAATCTTTTCCTTTAGTAATTTACTACTTTCATTCACCATATTTTACACCTAGTGCAAAGTGGGTGCAGAGCTCTCTGCTCACAGTGCTGGCAGAGCACGACACCTCTGCTGCACTCATGTGCAAGGCAAGGCACCTAATGCATGGCAAGGCATCAGCCAGTAGCAGAATGACAGAGCTTTGAGGCTTACACCAGCCTTGACTGGTGTAAATGAGAATTGGGCCTCACCTTCTCAAGTACAATAAGATTCTGTGGCTTTTCCAGTAACAGCTTCAACAAAGATTTTCAGCTTAGTTCAGAGACTTTAGTCTATAATGACACTGAGTCCCCCTTGTGCCATTCTGGTGATGAAGATACAACTGAAGCGTGCAAACCCACACTGCCCCCCAGCAAAGTG